CCCCGTGCTCTTGGGGGGTAGACAGAGCCCACCTGGTGGTCGTATACTGCCAAGAGTCTGGGATGATGGTGGTACTAAGCAGGAGAATGGCAGGTGCCTGGGACAACTGAAGTATCAAGCAAGGAGGCTGTCACGTCAGACTCTCTGGAACTGGCTCCTGCCAACTGCACAAAGGAGAGACAGGATGCTAAGGCTTGGACCCCACAGACCGGCGGCTGGCAACTGGTGTTGGCCATAAAAAACGGCCGATCGTGTTTGGAAAGAAGTTTCCGCGTTTTGTTGGGACCCCACCGCAACCCTGGACTTTCGGGACTAGAAACTTTTTTCCATGCCCGATTAGGAAATCCGCCCAGGGTGTTTCCCGAAAAGGCAAGTAGGCCCGGGGATGCGGTCCAGGCCCTTCTATCGGCATGCACCAAGACATGTCCGTGTGTGGCTGTGCACGACCACGTGTGGCGCACGTCGCACAGGTACCATGCACATCACAATGACCTCGCATGATCCGCTCGCCGCCGGGGCGCGACTGTGCACGGAGATGACCGTTGGGAATATCGGCGGGTGTCCCACTCCATCGCCCCCCAACACTCGCCCGCCCCACTCTTGCCGTTGGTACCACTGTTCCCCGATGAGGTCCTTCCAGAGTGGAAATGCATGCACGGAGCACTGACGGGAAGCCATAGCCGGCAATTGTGGTGGAGGGGTTGGCGAGGAATAGGGGTTGTGGAAGGTGGTGCGATCGTCAAGCGGCTGCCAGAGCTGGTGTGCAAGGGTTGATGTTGTTCCCATAACAGTGACATTGTGGCCATGTCTCCATCGGATGTGGCTAGTGCGGAGGAGGAGTGGGAGGACATGATGTTCATGCTCATTCTCCTCATGACCCAGTGGGTGAATATGCGCAACTCTGCGGCCATGGCCATTCTTGAAGCAGTCGCCATCACCCCGTTCATGTTCCGGGATGTATCGGGGGCGCTGACGATGCTTGCAGGGGGGGTGGTTCACGGAATGGCGTTGAGCTGGTTGGCAGCGTAGGAGTTGGGAAGACACCTGAGGTTTCGGAGAAGGCGTTTGTGGATGTTGGAGCGTAGCGGAGGTTTGTGGAAGGACCTGCAAAGGGTGGGTGGGGAGCACGATAAGGTGTTCGTGCGGTTCTGCGGATTACCTCGACCACTGCTTTTGCAAGTTCTCCAGCGCATCACCCCCCATGTCCAGCGTTCGCCTACCAATTTTCAGTTGCCTCTACCGGCCGGACAAAAGTTCGCTTGCGCACTGATCCGATGGGCGACGGGCGGGTTCTACCGGCAATCGGCCCACATCTTAGGTACGGGCCTTGCGAGTGCGTTGAGAAGCAACGAGGACGTCACAGATGCTATCCTCCACGAGTACGGCCACCTCGTCCAATTCCCTACAGGAAGGCGTTTGGAATAAGTCAAGAATGTTTTCGAGGCGAAGGGGTTTCCCGGATGTGTGGGGGCCATTGACTGCACACACGTGTATATTGACAAGCCAAAAGGGACGCGGTCAGAGTGCTACTATCATCACACTAAAGACTTCTCGGTCGTCGTGCAGGTTGTGTGTGACAACGAGTGTAGAATTGTCGGTGTGTATGTCGGTTGCCCTGGGTCCGTGCACGACTCTCGTGTGCTGCGGATGTCGCCACTGTACCACAACACCATGGCAGGCAGAGGTGTGTTATGCGAGGGTGGAGCTATCATGCACGATGGGACACACGTGGGTCGTTACCTGCTTGGAGATGTCGTTTACCTCCTCCCGTGGATCATGACACCTATGAAAAGATTCGCCAGAACTGATGCAGATCAGACTTACAATGAATGTCACTCGTTTGAAGACCGTATGGAGGAATTTCATCCGCGCTCACATTGCGAACTTGGAGACGCTCCGCAAGGAATTCATGGCTATGTGCATACTACACAACCTCATGATTGAGGATAGGGTGGAGATCGACCCGAACCTGTTGAACCACAGTAGCGACAGTGAGGGTGACGGCCAACACGCAACCCCCGTCGATGCCGCCGCCACCACCGGCGATTGCCACGTCACATTCCTGATTTGAACATCGAAGCCGTGCCGGAGATTGATCCTAGTTATGGCTCCAACCTCGGAGCGAGGGTCAGGGTTAGCTTGATTGAACATGTGGTCCATCATGTGGATGTTCATGGTGCACCGCCGCCATGTCCGTGGAGATAGCGCAATCGTGCCAGTGGATGGGTGTGTGGGTGTGGGCGAACCTGTTATACCGAACAACTGACGATTGTTTTGTGAAGGACAACATGCCTCTCTCTCTGTCTCTCTCTCTCGCTCTCTCTCTCTCTCTCCTCTCTCTCTCTCTCTCTTTCTGTCTTTTCTCTCTCTACTCACTCTAGCATTCTATCATTCTATCCATATCTCTCTCTCTCTCCAGATTGGTCGATTGATCGCTCTTTTGGTGTGTCAACGCAGTGATTTTACATGTGCACGCCGGGTGTCTTTTTTTACGAGTCCGCAATGTGTGCGTTCATCGCAAAGGTGAATATTTTGATCGTTCGATAAACAATATCATTGTTTGCTCAATTGTCACATCGTTGACTAATTGTTTGATTGTTTGATTAATTGATTGATTGATTGATTGTTTGATTGATTGCCTGTTTGACTATTTGATTGATTAATTGGTTGATTGATTGATTGTTTGGTTGATTAATTGGTTGGTTGATCGTTTTACGGTTCGCCGAATAATTGATTGAACAATCTTTTGGCAGACCGAGTGGTCGATCGTTCGATGTCTCTCCACCCGTTACTGCATCGGTTTTGTCATATATATATATATATATATATATATGTTCATTATTTCTTGCAACACCCTCTGTCCACAACCTTTTGCGTTTGAGTCCGTCCCCGTCGATGTGGGTTGATCGACACGTTGCACGAGCAACATGTGTCATGTCCAGTTTGTTGCAATCGGTGAAAGGTCAAAGAGGCAAAGAAGAAAGGCGTAGTGAACCGACATACTACACAACAAAGGAAATGCCAACATCAATGAAGACCAAAAACCCATCAATGAAGACCACAAACGGATCGTACATGACAAGTCCCACACGCAAAACCCACATGCAAAACGGACCTCCTTCGTCATCGACAACTGTCTTTTCCCTTTTGTGAACTTGTAATGTTGTCAATGTGGTAACATCCGAAAAGAAGTCAACAAAAGATGAAGAGAAAAACGACCAGAAAAAAAAAATACAAAACTTGTAATAATACCAACAACAACCAACGACGATGCAGACAAGGGCGTCAAAATACAAACAATGCAACACATACCAACCTCGACCGTTACACTCTATATCCAGTACAGTCCACACCCAATACAGTATGCGCTCACACACAGAGAGAGAGAGAGAGAGAGAGAGAGAGAGAGAGAGAGAGAGAGAGAGAGAGAGAGAGAGAGAGAGAGA